AACTACAGAATACTGAAGAAAAAAATTGAAGACCCCAAAATACGGAAAGACCTCCCATGTTCATGGATGGGCAGAATTAATATTATTGAAATGGCCATATTACCAAAAGCAATATACACATTCAATGCAGTCCCCATCACAATACCAATGATATTTTTCACAGAACTAGAAAAAAAGTCCTAAAATTCATTTGGAATAAAGACCCAGAATAGTCAAAGCAATTCTTAGTCAAAAAAGGCAATGCTGGAGGCATCACAATACCCAACTTAAAATTATAGTACAGAGCTATAGTCACAAAAACTGTGTGGTACTGGCATAAAAACAGTTAGTTTCTAGAGGCCTCATGTTTTCCCTTAAAACTCCCTTTGTTTCAGCCTACTTGCCCTTGGCCTACTGTGACACTCACTTCTGGTTCTGGACAAAGACAGAAACAAATCCACACAGATACAACGATCTGATCCTACCAAAAACACACTCTGGAGAAAAGACAGCCTCTTTAATAAATACTGCTGTGAAAACTGGTTTACCATATGTAAAAGAATGAAAAGAGAGCCTTTCTCTCTCAACCTGCACAAAAATCAACTACAGGAGCTGGGGTTGTAGCTCAGTGGTAGAGCCCTTGCCTAGCACCTGTGAGGCACTGGGTTTGATCCTCAGCATCATATAAAAATACATAAATAAAATAAAGGGATTGTGTTCATCTAAAACTAAAAATATTTTTTTTTAAAATCAACACGAAATAGGTCAAAGACCTAGGAATTTAGACCACAAAGTATGCAACTCCTAAAAAATAATAATAATAATAATAATAATAATAAGGTCAACACTCCAGCATATAGGCACAGACAGTAACTTTCTAAAGCTCAGAAAATAATGCCAAGAGTTAATAAATGGGATGGTATCAAATTAAAAAGCTTCTGCACAACAAAGGAAATAATTAAGAATGTGAAGAGAGATCCCACAGAAGGGGAGAAAATCTTTGCTAGCTACTCTTCTGATAGAGAATTATTATCTAGAACATATAAAGAACTCAAAAAACTAAACACCCCCCCCCAAAAAAAAAAAAAAACAATTAATGGGCAAATGAATTAGATATTTCTCAAAAGAAAAAATACAAATGGCAAAAAAAATACATAAGAAAATGTTCAACATCATTAGTAGTCAGGAAAAGCAAAACTACACTGAGATTTCATCTCCACAAATCAGAATGGCAGTCATCAAGAATACGAACAATAATAAATGCTGGAGAGGATGTGGAGAAAAAGAAACACTTTTACACTCTTGGTGGGATTGTAAATGAATACAACCACTATGGAAATCTGCATGGAGGTTCCTTAAAAGACTAGGAATGGAACCACCATATGACCCAGCTAGACCACTCTTTGGTATTTATCCTAAAGAATTAAAGTTAATGTACCACAGAAATACATGCATACCCATGATTATGGTAATACAATTCACAACAGCCCAACTGTGAAATCAGCCTAGGTGCCCATCAACAGACAAAATGTGGTATATGAACACAATGGAGTTTTTTTTTTATTATTATTTATTTATTTTTGTTTTCGGCGGACACAATATCTTTGTATGTGGTGCTGAGGATCGAACCCGGGCCGCACACATGCCAGGCGAGCGCGCTACCTCTTGAGCCACATCCCCAGCCCCACAATGGAGTTTTATTCACTCAAATAAAAACGAAATTATATCATTTGCAGGAAAATGGATGGAACTTGAAAGTATTACATTAAATAAGGCAAACTCAGGTCAATGGTCATGTGTTTTCTCCCATATGTGAGAGAAAAAGGAAAAGAAAGGGGAGGGAAATTGAACAACAAATCCCATTAATATGTACAACTATAATGCAACAATAAAAAATGTGGAGAAAAAAAAAAAAGAAAGTGGGGGTGGGGGATCTCATGAAAATCAAAGGGAGATCAGTAGAATAAGAGGAAAGGAACCAGAGGGTAAGAGGGAGGGTGGGCGGGCAAAAGGAATTGCTAGGGAGGGATACTGGCCAAATTACATTGTTACATTGTGAGCACTAGCGAATATGTAACAAGTCCCATCATAATGTACAACTATAAGGAACCAAAAAAATGTGGAGAGAAAAAGAATTAACAATAAAAAGAAAAGGCCTAAAGTAGAGTAGAACCAGGAGCAAGCAATGTTGGAAATCAAGTTAGAAGATTCAAGAAGTAGTAATCTAAGGTCAATGGAAATTCAAGTATAACAAAAAAAAAAAAAAAAAAAAAAAAGGAGAGTGGGCCAGGGTACAGATATTTCACAATTTGAGGGCATTAATAGCTGTGATTTACTTAACTACATGCATAGTTAGTTTCAGGAACAATGACAAATAGACTGGGGTGGGTTGCAAAATGAGTTAAGGAAATGAAAACAGTGATCATAAGACAAGTCAGTCTAGCTGGGTACAGTGGCGCATGTTGGTAATCCCAACAACTTGAGAGGCTGAGACAGGAGGATCCCAAATTCAAAGCCAGTCTCAGCAACTTAGTGAAATCTTGTCTCAAAATATAAAGAACTGGAGATGTCGCTCAGTGCTTAAGTACCTGTGGATTCAATCCCCAGTATCAAAAAAAAAAAAAAAAAAAAAAGAAAGAAAGTCTCTCAAGAGGTCGAGCAGTGAAGGAATCAAGTGTACTTAGCCAGTAGCCTTTGCAGAGCTGGCATCACAAGCTGGCACCACCCCATTTAACATGTCCACTCTATTTTCAGATAAGCAGGAGATTTGTTCAAAAAGTCACAGCCAATGAGTAGAAGTGCAAATATGTTCCTCCTTGGTGACATGAAGTTGACTAGGTAGCTATTTTTAAATACAACACATTGATTCAACAAGAATTTCAGAAACTAATCTGTGCGCTGCAGTTATGTAATGTTCTGTGTGATAAGTAACTTGTCAGAAAGCAAATAATATCAGTTTGAGAAATAAATGAATCATGTTGAAAAAAGTGTCAACATTAGGCTGCCTGTAGCATTCTCGTTAATAAAGCATTCAGAAGAACCTAACATTACAAATAAATACTGAATACCTATTCTGGTAAAGAACTCTGCGACATCACCCTTAAGTAGGGGGAAAGAGAAACAACTGTGAATAAAATTTTAAATCCAAAACATAAAATATTTGGACCTTCTTCCTTCCAAACAAGTTTGCCCTAGTGCAACCCCACAACTTTTACATATGGCAGAACCAGGTTATTTAATCAATTAGCAAAACTGAAGGACCTGGGCAAATTTGATTTACATCTCTACAGTTAGTACAATCACTTATCCACTGTGGTAAATTCCAAAACAGGGGCTCCTCTTAGACAAACCGAGCTTGACTGGCCTTTGTTAAATTCTTTTTCCTTTTCTTTCTCATAGGAAACTGCCACTCTTCCCTAGTTAATGTTTCTCATTCAAAAGTTCCTTCCTGCTGGCCAGGGTGGCGCACACCTGTTACAAATCACAGCAGCTGGGGAGGCTGGGGCAAGAGGATCAGAAATTCAAAGCCATTCTCAGCAATTTAGATGAGCAACTTGGCAAGATGCCGTCTCAAAATAAAAAACTAGGGGCTCGGGATGTGGCTCAGTGGTTAAGTGCCCCTGGGTTCAAACCTTGATACACACACACACAAAAAAAGTTCCTTCCTTTTTCACTCAAGTGCTTTATTGTGCCAGGTGCTGGTCTAGACCCTAAGAAGACATAAAGAAGATAAACTAGCCCAGCCTTCATGAAATTTACTAGTAGAGAACAATTAAAGCATCTAATTAACTAACATACTCATTACAATTAATGATTAATTATTGGTAAGGAGACTAAGGACTGCTAGGGAGACAAGGAGATAGCTTGATTTCCAAAGGAAACAATATTTGGGCTGAAGTTTTAAAGAACGTTTAGGAACTGGGGAAAGGGAGAGGTGAAGGAGACATTAAAGGTCAAGCAGATAAGCAAAGAGGAGGCTTTCCAGGAACAAAAATTAAAGCCAGTGTGGCTTGAGTCTGAAGAGCCAGGGGAAAAAGAGGCTCCAATGAGCTGGCGACAGGAAGAGTGAGCTCACTCAGACCTAAGAGAATGTGAAACCCTTGAGGGGTTCCAAACATGTGATACACCGAGACACGTGCTTTTCTTCACAATTACTCCTCTTACTCTTCCATGCATCAGACCTCTTTCCAAAACCCAGTCCCAGGCCCCCAGCAGCACAAACTTCCTTAACTGGTCATTCATGATGCTGCTCAAGGCAAGCAAGGAGGGGGAAAAAAATCTTCAAGTTGAATTCTGTATTTAAGAGAAGAAGAAGATAAGTACTCTTCGGGGGTGGATGGGGGAATAGTTTAAACAAGGGGCAGCCACTTAACTATTCAAGTGATAGCTGGACTTAACCTATGCATAAAAGCAGAGAACACAGTTTATAGATGTTTCTTGCAAATAACTTCTAAAAATGTGTGTGTGTGTGTGTGTGTGTGTGTGTGTGTGTTTAAATTACATGGGTATTAACATTTAAAGTCAAAGATTGAAAACTTAACTACAGCCTAATATTTAAAAAACAAAACACGAGCCCACAACCTAACAGATTTTGACATTTTATTGCGCCATCCTTCCCTTCTCACAGTTTTTCCCCCCTAAATCAACAAAAAGATGACTTCCCGAATGCAGTTTGTGGTTTCGCTTTTTAAAGAATAAAATGCCTTCTAATTTATAACTTTCTGTGCTACTGGCTTGAGAGATGCCACAGGGCTGGGGGACACCAAACGAGCATCCGAGGTTTAAACGACTGCCAGTAACGTGGATGGATGCCTGACCGTAACTTTCCCGTCCTCCCCTCCCAAACTCCCGGGGACTGGCGGAGCCTCCCGGTCTCTGGGCTGCGGGGACTGGACAGCCCTGGACAAGGCCAGGCCCGCAGAGCCGGAGTTGCAGCCGCCACCTCTTTCCCCTTCTCCTCGGGCTGAGGCAGGGGGGACCCAGACGGGAAATGAGAAGGAAGGTGGGAGCATGGGCATTACCTGGGGCCCAGCTGGGCTGCGGGGACTTCGGCAAAGAGGGCCGGGCAGGGAAGCCGTCACTGCACAGCGGCGGGAAGGTCGGCTACAAAAGATGTCCCGGGGCCAGGGCCCGCAACGCCGCGAGCCCAGCCGCAAACGAAGATAAAGCACCCGACTCGCCCGCCCCTCGGCCCCCAACCTCCAGCCGGCTCGCCTGCGTCACGCGCACGGTCCTCGAGCTCGGGACTCCATTGGTGGTCCCGGCGATCGCAGGCTCCTCCCACTGCCCCGCCCCTTCCCGGGCGCGCGGGTACCCCGCGCTAGAGCCTTCAGCTGGCGCTGGCGCCCTATGAGCGGTGCTTCGCACTAGCCGCTCGTGACACCGGCCACAACAGCTTGCTTTCCACTTCCACCCAGCGGTCAAATGTGGGACAGAAACGTGACCAACACAACTTCCTGCAAGTTCGAAAAGGCACCCTGCGTGGTAGCATGGGACAGGGGAGTCTAGTGCTGCTTCTGTAGACTCGCATAAGCCACTTCAGGAACGGAGGATCATTGACATTGAAACTGATCGTCAAGGAACAAAATAGAAACTCTAGTCAGAAACCCTTGTCATGAGTAGCCTTTTGCTCTGTAAATCATGCTTGACAATGCCCTTCAGCAACATGCGAACTAGATAAGGAGAAAGAAGTCACATAAAATAAACAGATAATCAAGTAACTTAAAAGGAATCTTGGGACTTCATAATCAAAGAGAAAATGATGCAGAGAGATTTAGGACGTAGATGAGATCCAACAGTTCATTGCTTAGATTTTATGAAGTTAAGGATGTGGGAGAATTTAGGGTAAAGATTGCTAAAAGTGAATGCTAAGAGGAATAGAGACTGAAGAATCACACTCAAAGCCAGCAAATCAGTATCATCCAATTTGGCCTGGCTAATCATTCCCTTAACTTATCCCTTTGGAATAATCACTGTTGAGATGGCCACTCCTCCAGGTCAGAAGCCCTAAACAAATGGATCGTGTTTATTGGAACTCACTAATCTCAGTAGACTTCCCCTCAGTAGAAGAGATCGAATCCAGGAGCTTTACCACTGAGCTACATATGCAGTTTTTTTTTTTTTTTTTTTTTTTTTTTTGTTGTTGTTGTTGTTTTGTTTTGTTTTGAGACAGGGTCTTCTAAAATGCTGAGACCAACCTCAACTTGGGATCCTCCTGTTTAGCCTCCTGAATAGCTGGGATTACAGGCTTGCTGCTACCAAGCCTGGCTCTGTAGACCTTTGAACAAAGTAGATAGATAAAAGTTCCCCTGGACACCCATAGTAGGCAGCACTGTAGCATTGAGTTGAAAAGGCACTGGCTGTCATTGGCAGACCAGCACAGTTTTGTTTGTTTGTTTCTTCTATAACAATTGGGATTGCTGCTTCTGTCAACTATATGCAAACAGAGTCTGGTAGATCCTCTCTGCTTTTGTGTTTCACCTCTCCCCTCCCACCAGTTTAAGAGCAATAGGAACATAGGAATCCATTTCTGTTGGGATTCCAATATCCACCTTATACATACCCCAAGAAGACACTTGTCTATTCATTGTTTGATTTATTCATTTTAAAAAATATTTTGGTTGTGTTTTCCTGGTGCCAGGGATACAGCAGTGAATAAACAGAAGCAGGCTTTGCACTTGGAAGCTTATGTTTCTAATAGGGAAGATAAATAATAAAACAAGCAAACAAGACAATTGCGGGTACTGATAAATGTTAAGAAGAAAACACATCAGGGTAGTTAGAGAAAGACATGACATAATGCACAATCAAATAATTTAAAAGGAAACTTGAGGCTTTATAATCAAAGAGAAAATAATTCAGAGAACCAAGCATGGTGGCACACACCTGTAATCCCAGTGATCCCAGAGGCTGAGAGGCAGGAGGATCACAAGTTCAAGTCCAGCCTCAGCAACTTAGTAAGGCCATAAGCAACTTAGCAAGACCCTGTCTCAAAAAAAAAAAAAAAAAAAAAAACTATGTATGTAGCTCAGTGGTTAAGCACCCCTGGGTTCAATTTGGTACCCCCCCAAAAAAAAGAAATAAAAAATGCAGACAGATTTAAGACATAAATTAGATTTAATTGTTAATTGCATAGCTTTTGTGAAGACAAAAAGTTTAGGTAACCTTCTGAGGAGGCCTGAACTAAGACCTAAATGAGGAGGAGTCAGGCATGCCAACCACAGAGAGGAAGAGCATTCCAGACAGGGCAATGAGTGTGAGGGCTCTGATACTGAAGAACTGTGGCTGGCTTGAGGAACAGGAGACCAGGAGTACTGAGCACACTGAGTCACAAGTATGAGACTGAGGCTGTAGTGTTAAGCAGGAGCTTAATCATATTGTTTGGATTATTTGGTTAAGTGCAAAGGGAAGACAAACTTCTTTTTTAAGTTAACCTATTTTATAGAGAAATTTGGAGGGAGCAGAAATGGAACAAGGAGAAGCCAGAGAAGAAAAAGAAGTTATTGGACAAGTCTATGGGATAGATTAGGGGAGTTGCTATGGAAATACAAGTTAAAAGATTTCAGGATGGGGCTGGGGATGTGGCTCAAGCAGTAGAGTGCTTGCCTGGCATGCGTGCGGCCCAGGTTCGATCCTCAGCACCACATACAAACAACAATGTTGTGTCCGCCAAAAACTGAAAAATAAATATTAAAATTCTCTCTCTCCAACCCCTCCCCCCCCCCTTTAAAAAAAAAAAAAAAAAAAAAAAAGGTTTCAGGATACTTCCCTGAGGCACAGGTGTGAAGAAACTAGTAAACAAGGTAACTCCAGGTTGTTTCCTTAAGCAACTAGGAGGATGGCAATATCATTTAGTGCAAAGGCAAATACCATATTATATGATTGGAAGGAATCCAAAAGCTTCTATCTAGAATCCAAGCATGTCCCCCCCGCTGGCCTGAAAAATCTCATATCACTCAATCCTTGAGATCAAGTCCTGGTTAATTACTAATGTCAACTTCTTCATACTCCAAAAAACATGTGTAGGGAACTCGTAATTAGTTCCGGGCAAATAAAAATTAATAAGTCTGTTGGGGAGATAAATAAGTGAGCCATTTCAAAACAATATGATAAGTATAACAATAAAAATAGATTTTTAAAAAACAGTGCCTACCTAACAGTGTAAATATTAAATGAGTTAATGCTTTCAAAGATTCACATACAGACCCTGGCAGATAGAAGTGCTCAATCAAAGGGCTGGGATTGTAACTCATAGGTGGCGTGCTTGCCTAGAATGCATAAGGCACTGGGTTCACTTCTAGCACCCATAAAAATAAGTAAAATAAAGGTATTGTGTCCATCTACAACTAAAAACAAAATTAAAGAAGTACTCAATTAATACTAACAATTATTATTGTTGACAGTATTATCTTCTGGTGAGAAAAGGCAGAATGGAGGAAGATTAACTGAGCCCAGCTTTCTGAACCAGTGTGAGTTTAGTTGTTAGAGAGGAGGAATTGCCCAAGCAAAGGAGCAGGGTCAAAGGCCAGAAGACAAGAAAGAGCCAGAACCATCTAGGAGACATGCAGGTGATTGATTATTTTTAAAGGGTAGGATACTTCCTGAGAAATGGCAAGAGGAAAAGCTGGTGTCCAGACTTGAATTTCGAGACCAATGTCTATGAGACATTCTGATTCAGACTCTCAGACAGCAGGGAGCCAGTGAGGGATATTAAGTAGGAGGGAGTCATAATTTTGGAGACCTTATTAGAAGGAAATGCAACTGGAGGTGGATAGATTAAGTGGAAAGGTGATGTGGTAATATAGGTGAGAGATGATAAAGGCCTAAACTAAAGCTGTAGCAAGTGGGATAGAAAGAAGGCATATCTGAGAGATATTAAAAGAATAATTAACTGAATTATTAGCATTTGGTTGTGGAGATGAAGGATATATTCAGGATTTAGCAAGCTAGGTGGCTGGAGTTAAGGCTGACTAAGATAAGAAAATACACCCTGGAGAAAGAACAAGAAAAAGCTTTCCTTGAGTTAATATTTAAGCTACATTAGTCCATACTGAGAAGAACTGACCAAGAAGCAATCAAGTTTTGTTTTGTTTTTACAATAGAACAGCTTTCACATTTTCTTTGTTATGTCAACAGTGCATAGTTACTGCAGAATATTTTTAAAAATTAAGAAAAGTACAAAGATAAAGGCCACCTAGTATTCTACCCAGAGATGCAACTGAATTTTGATGGGGAGAAGGAAAAGAACAATGGCTTGAACTTTACTGTCAGAAGGCACTGGCTTCTACAGGGAAGATAAAAAGGGAAACTGCAGGGGAACCAAGCCAGATTTCAAAACACAAACGATCTCAGTTCTTCAAAGGGCCCCCTTAAGGATACCAAACATGCAATAAACTTCTATCCCATCCTAAGCATGTGTAACTTCACCATTGGCATTCAAACATACAGAAAACAGATTGAGTAAGAGTGAGGCAATGGAATGAATCAGGACACAGAACTTGCCTGGTATGTTCCTTAAAATTTTTTGGAGTTGGAATCCTCTCTCATTTAAGTATTCCTGAAGCACCCAACACAGCACCTATGTGTCATGTGTTATATGTATTGAATGAATTAAGGAAACAAACTGAAGGTATAAGACTGCAAGGTGTGGGTCGGACACAATTTCATTCCTTCCCTTGGTGACTTACTCAGCTTGAAAGCTGTTTTTCACTTGTCTTCTACAAAGACAAGGCTTCATATACAAGGGCAAGAACCATATATCCCAGTTAGGTAGGATGCCATCTTGACTGTAAGGATCTTCTATACCTCTAAATAGCAAAGTACGTTCCAGGCACCCCCATAGATGTCATGATAGTTCAAGACCTACGCACGTGAAGAAACAACATCAAGAGTTCCTGAATCATCACTGGTGACGAGTACTCTCCGTAAAAATAGAAGAGCTGACACACAGCTGTGCTCATGACCCAGTTCATCTTTTTTGACCCTATTACTAGAGATTATTCCATGATTCTCCAAAAGACAGTGGCTAGTTTATTTTAATCACCCAACTTGGATTTTTTAATTCCATAAGGAAAATAGATTTATTCCTTATTAGATAAATAACACAAGCTTATTGGAAAAACTCCTTCCTCCATACGTGTAGAGCCTTCTTCATTTAACACTCCCCACCAGATTGGT